AGCTTAATAAAGCAACAGGTCCTGATGATATTCATCCCAAAGTTCTAAAATAACTTTCAGATATAGTTTTTGGACCATTAACTAATTTTTAACCACTTCAATACAGGGCACTTTCACCTGTCCTGTCCAAGCCAATTTTCAGCTTTCAGCGCTGTCGTACTTTGAATGACAATTGTGTGGACATGCAAAACTACACCCATATGAAATTGTATTCACACAAATAGAGATTTCTTTTGGTGGTATTTAATCAGCACTGGATTTTTTTTATTTTTTTGTGCACAATAAACAAAAGAATGAAATTGTCTTCGTTTGTGTTATAAAATTTTGTAAATAAATAATTGTTCTTCATAAATTAGGCCAAAATGTATTCTGCTACATTTCTTTGGTGAAAGTAACCCAAATCAATGTTTATTATTTAGTTGGTAGGAAAGTTTATAGAGTCCACAAACTGTAGTATATATCTGAAAATCGATCAGTCATGATGTACTGATGAATAACACAAAAAACAGCGCAAAAATTAAATAAATAAAAATAATCACAAATAAATAAATGTCTGTGCAAAAATATATATATATATATATATATATATATATAATATTTCAAACATAAGTCCTTATTTTCCCAAAAGGATTTTCAAGACAATGTTCCAAAATGTGCTTCCACCTAATCACCACGTGAAAAATAATATTGACCGCACTCACCAGATGGAGGTGAGTAATAAGCCTCATAGGATATAAGGGATCCTACAGCCCCTCAGGAGGAACTCAAATCGCCTTCTTCACCCTGCTTAGATACAGCAATCGACTCCACTCTAATTCTCCATGGAATCCTCAATAATGTGCAAGGAAAGAAAGGCTACATAGTGTAATACTGCCACTCAATACCATATAAATCGATAGAATAAGGACACTCACATGTTTCAATAAAATAACAGGCCTTGTTTAATAGTCTCAAAGGCTTCAAAGGAACAAGTTTCTAAATTGTAAATATAGGGATCTCACGCTTTAAGAATCACTGTAGAAGATGACCAGCTTTCCACCTCTAAAATGGCCGCTTGAACCGCAAAAGTCGGCGTTCCAAATACCAGAAGTGACGTAGGCCAAGATGACGGCAGACCGGAAGTGCGTCAACGCGTTTCGCCCCACCCACAGGGCGTTCTCAAGACCATATATATATTTTTGCATGGACATTTATTTATTTGTGATTATTTTTATTTATTTAATTTTTGCGCTGTTTTTTTTTTTGTCATTCATTATTGGTTGTCTTCACTGGTGCACAGCTGCATAATTGTATACTTTCTTTGATTGGCGCTGGGATTTTTTAGTTTGTTTATGATGTACTGATGGCCTCTCTCATTTCTTGAAGCCCAAAAATGTCAGGACAGTACAAATATTCCCCAAATGACCCCTTTTTGGAAAGTAGACAATCCAAGGTATGTAGTAAGAGGCATGGCACGTTTTTTGAAGTTGTAGTTTTTTTGTAATTTTTTTAAAATGAACAATTGAGTACTGTCCGTGATACTTTTTTTATTTGCACTAACATACAATTTTGAGGACAAGCTTTCGGGGTATGTCCCCTTCTTCAAGGTCCAAGCAGTACTAATCACAAACTTTCAGCAGAATGTTAGAAGAGATGTGGGGGATGAAAAAAAAAAAGAGACTAGAGATAAAACACAGTAAAAGCAAAGACTGGGGGGGGGGAGTCATGCTTGGGGTGATAGTCATAAAAATGTTGGATAATGATTGAGGAATCCCATGTCCAAATTAAGACCCTTATCTCTTGTGTCAAATAGAATTATCATTCTTAGTTCAAAAGTTTTTCTTTCCTGAATGTATTTTAAATTTCCTTTAAGAACTAAAATATTGAGGTCTTCCATTGTGTGGTCTGGTTGTGCGAAATGGTGTCCCACAGGTGTGCAAAAGTAATCTTCTTTATGTTCCTTGATGGTATGTCTGTGCAAATTCATCCTTGTTTGCAACTTCTGTCCTGTTTCGCCAACATAAGATCCTTTGCAACATTTTCTGCACTGGATAAGGTACACAACATTACTAGAAGTGCAGCTGTATGATCCAGAGATATTGAAGATTCCTTTTGATCCCTCTCTTATCACCAGTGGCCATTGAGTCAAGACTTGTCAAGGTCCTACCTTTTCCTAGAGGTTAAAGGCGGTCTTCCACTCATCCCCCTGTTTGATCCGTACGAGGTTGTACGCCGCCCTAAGGTCGAGCTCGGTAAAGACTGTTGCTCCCTTAAGGCAGTCGAACAACTCAGAAATCAAAGGAATCGGGTAGGCATTCTTAATGGTGATCCGATTGAGACCCCTATAATCGATGCAAGGCCTCAATTCCCCACCTTTCTTCTTTATGAAAAAAAAAACCTGCTTCTGCTGGGGAAGTAGACTTATGAATGTGCCCCCGAGAAAGCGCATCCGCAACGTACTCCTCCATGGACTTATTCTCCACAAAACCGAGAGAGGGTACACCCTGCCACGTGGAGGAGTGGCACCGGGTTGCAAGGATATGGCGCAGTCGTAAGGACGATGCGGAGGAAAGGCACCAGCGCGTACCTTATCAAACATGTCCAGGTACTCCCCATAGTCGGTGGGCAACGCAGAGTCTGAGGAGGCACACAATGCCTTAACCGGCCCACGGATGCACCCGGCCCCACACTGTGGAGACCATGAGAGAATCTCGGCTGTTCACCAATTGAAGGTTGGATTGTGCCTCTGGAGCCAGGGATACCCCAAAACCACCGAATAGTGTGGGGAAGAAATCACCTGAAAACAGGCCAACTCCCTGTGAACAGCCCCAATAGCTACCTCAAGCGGCAGAGTCTTGTGGGTAACCTGCGGCGGTTGCAGGGGCCTGCCATCTATTGCTTCGAGAACCAATGGGGTAGCACGAGCCTGCAGGGGAATGGAGTGCTGTGCAGCAAACGAGCTGTTCAAGAACAACCCACCGGCCCCAGAATCTACCAACGCCTGGGCCGTCACCGAGCCCTCCGTCCAAGAGAGGACAACGGTGATCAGTGGCTTATCCTTGCGGAATGCCGGGGACGAGGAAACTCTACCCAAGATCTGTCCCTGACAGGATCTCAGGTGCGAGCGTTTCCCGGACGGACCAGACAAGACTGCCGAAAGTGCCCACCGAGGCCACAGTACAGGCAGCGACCCTCCCGATGCCGAGCGATCCGCTTTCCCTCGGAAAGGTGAGCAAACCCCAGCTGCATGGGCTCACCACCAGACAAGCTATCCCCAGGAGGCGTGGGAGGAGAGGGAGGAATGGGTGGGACAGAAAACGCAGGTGCCAGTCCATTGGAAGGCCTCCGCAGGCGTTCCTTGAGTGAAGGCCTCTCCCTGAGCCTGGTGTCAATCAGGATCAGGAAAGAGATGAGCTCCTCCAACTCCCCAGGCAGTTCCTTAGCTGCAATCTCGTCCTTCAATGTGTCAGAAAGACCATGGGAAAACGCAGCGACCAGAGCCTCATTGTTCCAACCCACCTCTGCCGCCAGGGTACGAAACTCTATGGTGTACTCGGCCACGGTCCGTGAACCCTGATGCATGGTCATGAGCAGCTTGGCCGCCGAGGCGGAGCGAGCCGGTACGTCGAATACCCTACGGAAGGCATCGACAAAACCGGAAAAAACCGTGAATCACCGGGTCATTCCTCTCCCATAAGGGGTTCGCCCAGGCCAAGGCCTTGTCTGAGAGTAGTGATATTAGGAACCCCACCTTTGACCTCTCAGACGGAAAAGCGCGGGGTATTAGTTCAAAATAAATACCCACCTGGTTGATGAACCCACGACACTGACTCGGCTCACCCCCAAAAGCGCTGTGGAAGAGGGGCAGAATCTTTTATGCCTTCAGGTCTCTGAGGTCCATCCCCCAGAGGGGTGTGGCTGATTACATATAAGCCTGTGGTCCGCACATGCTCTTTGCACTTGTGTCTTGTGTCTTTGTGTTGCTACAGCTCTGTTCTGACTCTCGTGACTCTCCTGGAATCTGACTCGGCTTGTGACTCGACCATTCTTTGTGTTCTCCTTTGATCTGACCCTCCGTTGCTGAACCCGGCCCGCGACCTGTGATTCTCGTCTGCTGTTCTGTACCATTTTGTCCTGTTGTTGTCGACCCTGCCTGCCCGACTACTCTATTGTCCTTTCCACCAGCTACACGCCATTGGCGGTGGCCATTACCGCAACTGGGGTGTCTCGGGGGCCACGACCTGGTTCCTGGCTGCGTCAAGTCCATCCCCACCATCAGGGGCCCTGGTGAAGGGCAGCCTAGGACTTAGACTCCGCGCCCTGAGGGACTTCGGTCTGTGGGTGGTGGTTGTCGTCAGCCAGTGCATTACATTGTTATTAGGCTTGCCTGTTCGTTCCTCAGCTCCTGCCCTGACAAGACTGTAAGATAGGCCTCCCTTTACACTTCAGACTCTGCCATAAGGAACTTGTCGTTGACATTCCAATAAAGTAAGAAATAAATACATTTTTGGATCTTCATATTTCTGTACAGGGTAACAAATTCTCCACTAAAACTTTCAGTACAGACTGAAATTCTTATATTCACATATAAACAATTGAGTACTGACGTGATTTTTTTTTTATTTGCACTAACATACAATTTTGAGGACAAGCCTTTGGGGTATGTCCCTTTCTTCAAGGTCCAAGCAGTACTATTATTACAAAGTTTTAGCAGAATGTTAGAGATGTGGGGGATGAGAAAAAAAAAAGCAGAAAGAAACACAAGCCTAGGGTTAGCCTAGAGATAAGACACAGCAAAGCAAAAGCAAAGACTGGGGGGGGGGGGGGAGAACAACAATCACAGAGGGAGTCTTAAAAATGTTGGATAATGATTGAGGAATCCCATGTCCCATGTTTTTTTTTTCCTGAATGGATTTGAAATTTCCTTTAAGAACTAAAACATTGAGGTCTTCCATAATGTGGTCTGGTTGTGTGAAATGGTGTCCCACAGGTGTGCAAAAGTCATCTTCTTTATGTTCCTTGATGGCATGTCTGTGCAAATTCATCCTTGTTTGCAACTTCTGGCCTGTTTCGCCAACATAAGATCCTTTGCTACACTTTCTGCATTGGATAAGGTACACAACATTACTGGAGGTGCAGCTGTATGATCCGGAGATACTGAAGATCCCTTTTGAGTGTGTGACACTTTTTGATGGATTGATTTGGTTGCACAGTTTGCAGCGTTTTTTATTGCAGGGTTTGCTTCCATTATTTGTGACATTTTGTGAGAAAAGGAAGTTTCCTACTGATTAGTTTATTTCTGAGGTTGGGGGGTTGTCTGAAGGCCAGTATTGGTGGTTGCTGGAATATTTCTTTCAGAGTTCCATCCTCTGTTATGATAGGTTGTAAATCTTTGATTATTTTTCTTATTCCTTCTAGTGCTTGGTTGTATGTGGTTACTAGAGGTACACGGTTCTTTGTTTTTTTTCTCTTTTATTGTATCCCTGATGTATACTGTGGTGTCTAGGAGGTTGACATGTGTGTTTGAGTATTCCATTTTTAGTTTGATTGATGGATGAAAAGTGTTGATCAATGAGTAAAATTTTTTTTAGGTGTTCTTATGATGAAAATATCAATATAGCGATAGTATCTGTATGGTTTTTGTTCCATGCTGTTCAGAAATTTTTCCTCCAGGTCAGCCATAAATCACCTCAAGCAAAATCATACTATCACCAATGCAGTACAGTGTCATACTATAACTGGTGTAGTGGTGATCAGGGACACTGACTGATGACAATACAAAAATATAATTTAATCTATTAATTTTTTCAATTTTTTCTTTTTTATTCTTTTTTTACGATTTTTTTTCACACTGTGACTAGAGCAATATAATGTTACCATAGTAACATTGTAATACTCTGGGGAAGTGATCAGGATTTTTTTTTTCACATTATGATTGCTTATAGCAGTGAATTTCACTGCTATAAACAAGTATTTTTTACTGAATGAAATTGATTCCACCTGGACCTGGAATGACTGAAGTTGTTAATTAATATCTTCTAGAAGGAAAAGTTCCCAGTGGCTGTCAGACAGCTAATATTGTACCTATCCATAAGAAGGATAGCAAGGAAGAAGCTTGCAATTACAGGTCACTGAGTTTAACATCTGTTGTGGTCATGTTATTGGAATCACTCCTAAAAAGGACAATTGATCACTTAATAATACACAATTTGCTGGACCCAAAGCAGCATGGCTTTACTGATGGCAGATCATGTCAGACTAAGTTGAATTTTTTGACAATATGACTAATGTTTGGACCAGGGTGGTGTTGTGGACATCCTATCTTGATTTCAGCAAAGCATTTGATATAGTTCCATATCATGATCTAATAGGTACCAGAGTGTGGTTGTAAATGTGTTCATTCAGAACAGAGAACAGTCACTAGTGGGGTAACACAAAGCTCTGTATTAGGTCCTATTCTATTTAATCTATTTTTCTTGATATTACTAAAGGTTTGGTGGGCAAGGTATGTCTTGCTGATGACAAAAGGTGTGCAATAGGGTTAATATCCCAGGAGGTGTCTGTAACATGGAACATGATTTGACATTTCTGGAAGATTGGTCAAAGCAACTGAAACTGCAATTCAATGTTTCTAAATGTAAAATAATGCACCTGGGGATAAAGAATCCCTTGACAGAGTACAACATTGGGGTACAGTGCTGATGTTTGGAATAGACTTTGGGCAATGGTAGTAAGTCAGTCAACAGTAAGTGGATTCAAACATAGTGGGACAAACATACAGATGAAACTCGAAAAATTAGAATATCGTCCAAAAGTTTTTATTTCGGTAATGCAACTTAAAAGGTGAAACTAATATATGAGATACTCATTACATGCAAAGCAAGATAGTTCAAGCCGTGATTTGTCATAATTGTGATGATTATGGCTTACAGCTCATGAAAACCCCAAATACACAATCTCAGAAAATTAGAATATTACATTCAATCAATAAAATAAGGATTGTACAGAGAACAATATTGGACCTCTGAAAAGTATAAGCATGCATATGTACTCAGTACTTGGTTTGGGCCCCTTTTGCAGCAATTACTGCCTCAATGCGGCGTGGCATGGAAGCTATCAGCCTGTGGCACTGCTGAAGTGTTATGGAAGACCGGGATGCTTCAATAGCGGCCTTCAGCTCTTCCGCATTGTTTGGTCTCATGTCTCTCATCTTTCTCTTGGCAAGAGAGAAAGATTCTCTATGGGGTTCAGGTCAGGCAAGTTTGCTGGCCAATCAAGCACAGTAATCCCACGGTCATTGAACCAGGTTTTGATGCTTTTGGCAGTGTGGGCAGGTTCCAAGTCCTGCTGGAAAATGAAGTCAGATCCCCATAAAGCTCGTCTGCAGAAGGAAGCATTAAGTGCTCCAAAATCTCCTGGTAGACGGCTGCGTTGGCCCTGGACTTAATGAAGCACAGTGGACCAACACCAGCAGATGACTTGGCTCCCTAAATCAACACAGACTGTGGAAACTTCACACTGAACCTCAAGCATCTTGCAGTGTGTGCCTCTCCATTCTTCCTCCATACTCTGGGTCCTTGGTTTCTAAATGAGATGCAAAAGTTGCTCATCATGGTGACCATGGTGACACTGTACTACTTGTGGAGGGTGATGAATATTTTTTTCTTTTTTTTTTACACTGATTGCTTTTACACCCATAAAGGCTGTAAAAGCAATAATTTCACCTTCTCTCTAGCTGCATTCTTGCAGCCATTGAGAACTACTATGTGAGCTGTGATTGGTCACAGCTTGTCACATGATACAAGACTGTTGTGAATAGCCCTGTACCATGTGACCTCTGTGAACATTCACAGATTTCACACGTAGTAAGTAATGATGTTACAAGTGACATCTTGATTACTACTCTGCATGTGATCACTGATTGGCCAATCAGTGACCACATGATCAGGACCTCGCACAGAGGTCCCATCCAACGATCGTTGTTCCACTGTGTCCGGAGGACACAGCGGGCACCGGATCTCGGTGCTGCGCACTCCCAGAGAGCACGCACAAGCAGGGTCACCCGGCCCTGCATTGCCACCGTCCAGCCGTTTATATACAATGGCCGGACAGGAAGTGGTTAACACTTTAGGCCTCGTTCACATCTGGTCATTTGGAATCCCAAAGCACTCTACAAAAATCACACCATACGTGTTCAGGTTCCAATGGCACTAAACCGCAGTTCAGTTTTGCTGCTATTGTCACTCAATAAATTGGACAGAGTCAGTAAAACAGTCCTTGAGCTGTTTATTTTGTTGTTTTTATGAGGTCCAGGGTTATATGAGATGCCCAGGGAACTGTAAAACTGTAGAACAAACTTTCTTAGCAGCAAATGTTGTACAAAAATGTGGATCAAGAAAAATAGCTCTATCTTTTTTAAGGAGCACTAAAGTCTCCTTGCTGTACCTCCTTAGACCCCTGATGAATCCTCCTCTTCACCCAGCTGCACTGAGGGTATCCCTGGACAAGGGGTCCCAAGAGCTACCAATGGCGTAGTCCCAGACGAGAACTAGTTGGGTCACCTGACCACCCTCTCCCCTTATCTGGCCCAGGGGGTGTAGGAGTACTCACACTGTCCTGTCAGCTTAGTGGGTTAGTGGCTGCCTGCAGGCCTTACACTGGGCTGGCTACTTTCCTGCTGCACAGGTTGTCCTCCCCAGGAGACAGTAGGACAGTGGAGATCCTCCCTTCCAGAATTCTGCTTGTAGATAGGCTCCTCTCCATGGGGCCCCCTCCTAGGCTCCTCACTCCAGCCTCCTTCTCAATCCATCTTCCACCCAACACTGCACACCACTTCCCAGGCTCTGGTACATTGAAGGGTTGTCCTGGCCACCATGCCCAGCCTCCTGCCAGGGGATTGGCCAAGGTCCCTCCACTCCAGAAGCGCTCCCCTCCTGCTCCAGAAGAACCTCCAGTTGCACCTGTAGAACCTCCATGCCCGTACTGAGGAGAACTACTGCCTCACTCCCAGGCTGCTACCCAGCCTCTATCTAAAAAAAAACAAAACACCTATCTAGCTAAACCTAGGGGGCATTATATCTATTGAAAACAAATCAAAAATGTTTTGCCTTTGGATAAACTGTTCATGTTCCTCAGGAGTATGTGCCTTATCTGTTATAGATAAGTGACGATAGTTCTTGAGTAATACCATAAACCTAAATTCCCAGGACAGGTATTTCTTATCATGATTATTAAAAGATATTAAAAACTTTAAATAGTGTTTGTATTTTTTTTAAGGCAGCCCGACCAGCTTAACCTTTTTACCCTGGCAGCAAACATGCTGCCATCTCTGTTCAGCACTGTGGCTGCAAACTTTTGAAAAGAATGCATTAAGATATTCACCGTCAAAACTAACCGATTGCTAAACTTTCTGTTGGTATACTATGAGATGTCACTGTAACCTTTACGGATCTTTTTAACCTTTTCAAGCACCCAAGAGAATTATCATGCAGCAACTAATAGCTAATGTGAATTTTGTTGTAAAACAGACAATGACATGCTTTCATTGAAGTGGAACTTAACTCTCTCTCAATCAACGTTAACCACATTAACCCCCTTACTGCCCAGGCCAATTTTCATCTTTTACAGCTGTTGCACTTTGAATGATAATTACTCAGTCATGCAACACTGTACCCATATGAAATAATTTTCATTTGTTTTAGAAATATTGAGCTTTCTTTTGTTAGTATTTGATTACCAGTTTTTTTAAATTTTTTGCTAAGCAAAAAAAAGTCCAAAATTTTTAAGTTTTTCTTAGTTTCTGTTATAAAATTTTGCAATTAAAGCACAGCTCTACCACAAAAGAGAAAGCTGTGCTTGTTTGCACCCTCCACTGCCACATTTGGCACTTTTTTTTTGGGGGGGAGCGTGTACCTGGTTTTGACAGGTTTCTGCCATGGCGAACTGAGCCAAAAGTTCACCCCCCCTTCCCCCGCAGTCTACTGGGACACATCCCAGAAGACTACGGGACCAATCATGTGACTTGCACATGTGCAGTAGGAAACCAGCTGTAAAGCCGCAAAGCTCCACTTCAGGTTTCCCTTACTGAAGATGCCGTTGCCAGGAACCCTGAGAGTACTGAAGAACTATCCTGGGTGACAATGGTGTTGGACCCCTGGACAGGTAAGTGTCCTTACATTAAAAGTCAGCTGCTACAGTATTTGTAGCTGCTGACTTTTCATTTTTGGGGGGGGAGCCTGGAACTCCTCTTTAAGTAATTTGTCTTCTTCACTGATGTGCGCTATAATGAGACTGATGGGCAATGATAGGCTGCACTAATGGGCACAGATAAGGTGGCACTAATGGCCACAGATAGGTGGCACTGATAATAGGCAGCACTGTTGGGCACTGATGAGCTGCACTGATGGACACTGATTGGCAATGATAATGAGAGCAATGATGATCTGTAGTGTTGGTCTTGATTTCAGCTGTTTGTGTGTTCCGCGAACACACGAATGGTAAGGGCATTCAGCGGGCTGTTTGGCCGCCACACCCCACAATGCACTGCACCCTGACAGTGCATTGTGATTGACCAAAGCAATGCACCTGACCACAAGAGAGCGGGATAACATAATCACAGTATATAAGAACTGTAATCCCTGTGCAGCTGTCAGATGGCAGGAGCCAGCATCGAGGGTGGAGCATCCTTTTTTTTTTTCTTTTTTCGGGTTGGTGGTGGTGGCAGGCATCGTGCCTGATGTTGGATCTACTTGGGGGGACATTTTTTTAACTTTTGTTTTTAATAAAGGACTTGTCAAAGACTGTCTTCTGTCATTTTGTACACTACTTTTTTATTTTTGTGAATGAGTAGCAGTACCATGTACCCCATACTCATTCACATTGGGGGAGGCGGTATCTGGGGGCCCCCTTGTTAAAGGGGGCTTCCAGATTCTGATAAGACCCCTGCCCGCAGACCCCCACAACCACCGGTCACAGTTGTGGGGAAGAGGCCCTTGTCCCCATCAACATGGGGACAAGGTGCTTTGGGGGGGAGCCCCTCTGCCCCAAAGCACCCCCCCATGTTGAGGGAATGTGTCTTGGTATGGTTCAGGGGGGAAATGCTCATCCCCGCCCTTTCCTAACCTGCCAGGCTGCATGCTCGGATAAGGGTCAGGTATTTTACTCAGATAGTAGAGGAAGATGAAAGAAAGAGCGCACAAACCTTGCGCATTACCTCAATAAATAGTGACTAATTTTATTAATAAGGAAATATACTCACAAAATGATTGTATAACAGGCATAAGTAACCATAATCCAAACAGGGTTACAGGTAAATCAAAAAGGGGGGGTATGAAGGCTAACGCGTTTCGAAGGGTGCTCCCTTCTTCATCAGATCTGGGTTTGGCAGATAGAAACTTCAGTATGGCAGAGTTCCCATGGCAAGGAGATATTCAGCCACTGAGTGTCAGTATTACAGCAGTTCAGCCTGTTTAGTGTCACTAAACAGGCTGAACTGCTGTAATACTGACACTCAGTGGCTGAATATCTCCTTGCCATGGGAACTCTGCCATACTGAAGTTTCTATCTGCCAAACCCAGCTCTGATGAAGAAGGGAGCACCCTTCGAAACGGTAACCCTGTTTGGATTATGGTTACTTATGCCTGTTATACAATCATTTTGTGAGTATATTTCCTTATTAATAAAATTAGTCACTATTTATTGAGGTAATGCGCAAGGTTTGTGCGCTCTTTCTTTCATCTTCCTCTACAGTTTTATTAAGCTTCATGATAGAGCTGCACAACCTCTGATCACCAGTGGATGAATACACAACACGCTGCTTGTCACTAACGCCTGTTTGATCTGAGTCCTTGAGCGCAGGAGATAATGGATCTTTGGTGACATTTTACTCAGATACTCAGATGCAGTAAGATACAGCTCATTGAATTGTCCCCTCTGTTCAAAGTTCACGGTTGAACTTTCGAATGTTCGATCACAAACCGAACAGGGGGATGTTTGGCCCATCACTAATGATCAGTGCCCTGATTATCAGTGTAAATTATGTGCTGACAGCCTTGCTGGTTATCAGCTGTCCTTTCTTTCACACAGACACAGTGTGGAAGCAAAGGACTGTGGATAACTGGTAAGTTTGTTTACATGTGATCAACTGTGATAAGACACAGCTGATCACATGGTAAAGGGCCGCTGCGATTTGCCCCAATCTATGATCAACTGTGTCCAAAGGGCACAGCAATCAGAGCGTGCCCGATGCGCAGCCCAGAGGGCGTGCAGAAGGTGTGGTTATGGGAGGACGTCCCTCCTTGCGCTATAGCCATCTTTCAGCTATAGCACGGTCTGCAAGTGGTTAACTATTTTGATACTAGCATTAGAAAATAGATATGAAAGTATATCATATTTACTTGTTTTAAACTGTTTTTTACAATTCTATAATTATTTCCCAGTTTCCATGCCTAGCAATGCAAATAATGTCAGACATACCAGGAGTCTTCATGAGGGGAGGAGGGGTTTTATCAGTTAAGCACACTCTCTCGCCTGTATGCCAGAGCTAAGGGAAGATGGATTCCAGGAAGTCATTGCTACATGAATCATCTGCCATTACGCAAGCTGGCCACGGCCAGAAATACTGGGGGGGGGGGTGTTTTTCTACGTGATTTCTCAGCAAAATAAAGCATGGAGACATGAATGGATGGCTGAGTTTGCTTTGAATATTAATAATAACTTAAATAGCGAGTTTGATTTTTTGTGGTGCTCATATACAGTGTAGTTCTGCTTTAAATTTATTTTTAAAAATTGGAATTTTACTTGAACTAATTAAATGGATGAAGGTTGTCTTCAGGTAAAACAAAATCCTGACTTACACAGACACATCAATATATTGTAGATGTCACACCACTTCCTTAGAATCAATCTTTCTAAAACTGAAATCATGATATTCCCCCCACCCATGCCTTCCTCCCCAACTTTTCCAACAGGATCAGCAAAACAACTATCAGACCCTCCCCTCATGCTGAGGTGCTAGGTGTAATTCTGAACTCTGACATGTCCTTTCAGCCCCAAATCTAATCACTGTTCAAATCTTGTAGACTTCACATTTGTAACATCTCCAAAATAAGCCTCTTTTAAGAAAATGAAACAGCCAAGAAACTCATTCACTTTCTGTTATCTCTTGCTTTGACTATTGCAGCTCCCTTGTTACAGGCTTACCTGTACACAGGCTATTCCCCCTTTAGTCTATCACAAATACTATTGCCAGAGTAATCCACCTTACCAACTACTCAGTGTCCGGTACCCCTCTCTGCCAATCCCTCCACTGGCTTCTGATTGCCTAGTGAGTAATTCCAAATACTAAGAACAGCATACAAAGCCATTTACAACTCAGCCCCAAGCTACATCACTAAGCTTGTCTCATAATATCACCCAAACCATCCACTCTGCTCCTCCCAAGACCTCCTGCTCTCTAGCTCCCTTGTCTCATCCCCCATGCTCATCTCCAGAACTTCTCCAGAGCCTCTCTCATCCTCTGGAACTCTTTACCCCAATATATCCAGCTAACTCCTACCCTGTCCACTATAAGGCAATCCCTGAAAAACTCATCTCTTCAGAAAAGCCTATCCTGCCTTCATCTTACAACTAAAACTTTTATTTCTTCCACCAGCTCATCCATCGCAGTTATTACCTTTAGTACCACTTGTCCCTTCCATTAGATTGTAAGCTCTCAGGAGCTGGTCTTCCTAACCCTGAATTTTATTGTAACTGTACTGCCTCCCTTTATAATGTTAAGCACTTTACAAAGAAGTAATATAAATACCGTACATATTATTGATTCACTAAATCATTTAATTTAATTTTACTATTCACACTGGATATACCTTACTGAACCAAATCTTATGGTCTTGTAGTGTAGTGTAACTGCAGAGACTTCAACCATCAGTTTTTGTATCTATGTTGGTATTTTATGCCAGTACTGTTAGGTGGAATGATCCCCTACCTGGCAATGGCTGCATAGTTTTATCAGTGACATTATCCAGTTAGTAAAGTGTGGGACAGAGAATGTACCAATGATGGGGAAATCTGTCCTGAGTGTGGGTAGCACCTGGGATGGTGTAGCTGCTGCTAGTACTCCCTGTGACAATGCCGTTCTCAACCTTACCCTGAACAGAAATTTTTCAGATTGCAGGACAGCAGACTGACAGGGGTCATCAGTAGGGTTGGTTAACTTTGTAGTTAATCCTTTGTAATAACTACCACCATATGTTTTAATGGAAACATGAACTGTAGCAATTCTGATCTTTTAGAAATGTATGTGACACCAATGTCATGTAGACAAGGAAGTAACAAAGTTTAATCACTAGCCTACAGGGCACTTATACCCCCTTCCTGCTCAGGCCAATTTCCAGCTTTCAGTGCTGTCGCACTTTGAATGACAATGCAACACTGTACCCATATGAAATTTTTATCATTTTTTTTGTGACAGATAGAGCTTTATTTTGGTGGAATTTAATCACCTCTAGGTTTTTTATTTTTTTCTTAAACAAACCAAAAACCACTGAAAATTTTGAAAAAAAATGTTTTTTCTTAGTTTTTGTTATAAAATTTTTTTAATAAGTGATTTTTCTCCTTCACTGATGTGCACTAATGAGGCTGCGCTGATGGGCACTGATAGGCTGCACTGATGGACACTGATAGGTGGCACTGATGGGCACTGATGAGGGAGGCACTGGTAGGTGGCACTGATGGGCATTGACAGGCATCACTGATGGGCACTGGAAGGCAGCACTGATACATGGCACTGATATATGGCACTGATAGGCAGCACTGATAGGCGGCACTGGCTGGCACTGTTAGGGGGCACTGATGCGCATTGATAGGCGGCACTGATAGTTGGCACTGGCTGGCACTGATTGGCAGCACTGATAGGTGGCATTGATTGGCATTGATAGGTGGCACTGATGGGTGACACTGAAAGGCAGCTCAGATGGGCACTGATATGTGGCATTGATGTGCACTGGTGTGCACTGTTATGTGGCACTGATGGGCACTGGCACGAGGCACTGATGGACACTGACTGGTGGCACTGCTGGGGCTACACTGATCATCAGTGTACATGTCCCCTCTGCGGAAAGCCGATTACCGGCTCTCCTCTCCTCTTGAGCTGTCAGCGTGACAGCTCGAGAGGAGAGAAAATGCCGATAACCGGCATATCCCTGTTTACATGTGATCAGCTGTGATTGGACACAGCTGATCACATGATCGAGCCGACATCTTTGGCTCTTTCCGTGATCGGTGATCCGCTGTGTCCGAGGGACACAGCGCACCGCCGATCACCGCGCTGCGCGCTCCCTGAGCTGTGCATGTGCAGTGAGAATGGGAGGACGTCATATGATGTCCTCCCAGAACGAGAGAACCACCAGCGGGAGGTAGTTAAACTATGGTAACATTCCAAATAGGCAAGGATTCTTCAGTTTTGGTTTAGAGTATTTATAGAATCAGTTTGACAGTTTTTAATTGGCAGCACAGTGGCTAAATGGTTAGCACTTCTGGCTGGCAGTACCAGGGGCGTTGGTTCAAATCCTAACCACGGCACCACCTGCCTGGAGTTTGCATGTCCTCCCTGTGCCTGTGTGGGTTTCCTCTGGGTACTCCGATTTCCTCCTACACTCCAAAGACATGCTGGTAGGTTAATTGGCTCCTGTCTAAATTGGCCTTAGTATGGATATGTATGAATGTGAGTTAGGGACCTTAGATTGTATGTTCCTTGAGGGTCAGGGACTGATGTGAATGTACAATATATATATGTAAAGTGCTGCATAAATTGACAGCTTATATAGATAAGTAATAATAATTATAATTATTGTTTAACCACGTGAACACTGGCATGTTAAACCCCCTTCCCATCTAGGCCACTTTTCAGTTTTCAGCACTGTTATACTTTGACAGTTACTTGACCATTGAACACTGTATCTAAATGAATGTTATATATTTAAAAAAATAAACAGATGGAGCTTTCTTTATGTGGTATTTAATCACCGCTGTTTTTTCTTTTTTACTATATACACATAAACAGACTAAAAGTTTTAAACAAAAAGTTTCCCTTAGTTTTTGCTATAAAACTTTACAAATAAATAATCTTTCTTGTTCAATATATTTATTGAATTTTACACAGTACAAATCACAACAGCATTAAGGCACTTTGGACACAGAATGAAAAGTAAAGTTACCAAGAAACATTCATGTGCACATACACCATAGCATAGAAGAGTGGGAATACAGATTGAAGCAGATCAGGTTTCCAAGAGTAATAATCTCTCATATGTAATGGAGAACAAAGTTGAGAGTGTAAGCTGTTCCCACAGAAGTAGAAAACAACACAGTCAGTTGTATAAAATACTTAGTAAGTTAGGTCATGTATCCAAGTGCAAACAAGGAATAAGAATGGTTTGCTGGAGAACCCAGGTTGCCATCTGCAAAAAAAAGGGAAAAGGGATGAAAGAGTGGGGGATGGACAGGGAGGAGAGGGAAGGAGGTCCTGGGGGTCTGCCTATTAGTAATGCAGAGGAAATCTGATAGCATCAGCAACATAGAGGTGGTTGGGAACAGGAGTGTAGCATCAAAATGCAGAGGCAGGTAATGATCAACCCATGGCTGCCAGATTTTGGCATAGTTTGCTACTTTATCTTGTATAATCTTTCTTAATAAATTCAGACCAAAATGTATAAGGCTTAATTTCTGTGTAAAAAAAAAAACACATGCATATTATTTAGTCAGTGTGAAAGTTATAGAGTCTACAAACTGTTTATATACAGTATATTTGAAATGTATCAATCCTTAAATTCTTCCTGTCTAATTTCTTGAGACCCTAAAATGCCAGGACAGTATAAATACCCCCCAAATTACTAAATTTTAGACAATAGAGACGTCAAGGTATTTAGTAAAAAGCATGGTGAGTTTTTGAACTTGTAATTATTTGCCACAATATTTTGGAAAACTAAAAAAGTAAATACATTTTGAAAATTAAATTTTTTTTTAAACAAAGCTGTCATGTTAACCAGTTATTTTCCACTCATATGCCTAGGCATACTCACAGTTACACCCTAAGACACGTTACATAGTTAAATAGTTAGTCTAGCTGAAAAAAGACAAAAATCCATCCAGTTGAACCGTTAAAAAAAATTATTTATAAAAGTTATAATCCTATACCCACAGTTGAACCAGAGGAAGGCAAAAAAAAAAAACAGCAACGCATGATCCAATTTTCTCCTGCTGGGAAAAAAAATTCCTTCCTGATCCCCCAAGAGGGACACAAGTCGATTTAGTTCAACTAATAAAAAAGAAAAAAATTATACAAGCCTATATATACAATCCTAGACCCACAATTGATCCAGAAAAAGGCAAAAAACCCCCAATAAAGCTTAATGCAATTTGCTCCAGCAGGGGAAAAAATTTTTTCCTGATCCTCCAATAGGCAATCGGATATTCCCTGGATGAACTTTAATTATAAATGTAAGTATCTAGTTATATTCTGTGTATCTAAGAAAGAATCCAGGCCTTTTTTGAAGCAATCCACTGAGCTGGCCAGAACCAACTCTTGAGGGAGTCTATTCCACACATTTTCACAGCTCTCACTGTGAAGAAACCTTTCCGTGTTTAGAGATTAAATTTATTTTCCTCCAGACATAAAGAGTGCCCCCTTGTCCTCTGTGATGACCTCAGGGTGAATAGCTCTACACCGAGTTCACTATATGAACCACTGATGTATTTATACATGTTGATCATATCCCCCCTTAATCTCTTCTTCTCAAGAGAGAATAAATTCAGTTCCTCTAATCTTTCCTCATAGCTGATGTCCTCCATGCTTCGTATCAGTTTGGTTGCCCTTCTCTGTACTCTGCCAAAAACTGAACTGCATATTCCAGATGAGGTGTTACTAATGATTTGTACAGGGGTAATATGATATCTCTCTCTCTATAGTCTATAACTCTTTTAATACAAGAGAGGATTTAGCTTGCTTTAGAAACTGCAGCTTGGCATTGCATGCCATTATTAAGCTTGTGATCTACCAGAACTCCCAAATCCTTCTCCACCATTGATTACCCCAGTTGTACCCCCCCTAGTATGTATGATGCATGCATATTCTTAGAGCCCAAGTGCTTAACCTTACATTTATCAACATTAAATCTCATTTGACACATAGATGCCCAATTAAACAGTGCATTGAGGTCAGCTTGTAAGTTGGAGACATCCTGTAAGGACATTATTCCACTGCACAGCTTGGTGTCATCTGCAAAGACTGAAATGGGATTTTCAATCTCAGACCCTATATCGTTTATAAATATATTAAAAAGTAAGGGTCCCAACACTGAACCTTGGGGTACACCACTGACGACCCTAGACCATTCAGAGTATGAATCATTAACCACTACTCTTTGAATACGATCTTTTAGCCAGTTTTCTATCCATTTACATATGGATTTTTCCAAGCCCGTAGACTTTACCTTACACATTTGCCGTGTCTGGGGAACTGTGTCAAACACTTTTGCAAAATCCAAGAATACTACATCCACTGCCACTCCTTTGTCCAAGGTTTTGCTCACCCCCTCATAAAAAGAAATCAGATTTGTTTGACAACGTTCTTCTACTCTTCCCAAGTGTGAGACTTTTTTGCTGCCTAGATGCATAGAGGGTCCCAAAATCATAAAAGGCCCTGGGCTTTCAAGGGAAATCTTTCATCAGATTTCCTAACTATCATATTTCTTGAGGCTTCCAAGTTGCCAGGATAGGAGCAACAACAACAACAAAATGACCACATTTTGCAAGTAGACACTCCAACTTATTTAATTAGAGGAACGGTGACTCTTTTGAAGATCACATTTTTTGGCAAAAGTTTTTGGAAAATGAAGAAAGAAAATTACGTTGTATTTTTTTTTTTTTTACACAGCTGTCAATTAATAAGATATTTCTCCTCTCACACACAGCAGGAACATACTTACAATTATACCAAAATACTCTATTATTCCTCTCAAGTATAGGATACCATATGTGAGGATTTTTTGTATAGGGGCTCAACATTCAAGGAGCACCTTCAAGCTTTTAAATAACATAAATAAGACATCTGATTTCCCAACTATTTCCTGCATGTTTGGAGGCTCTCGAGTGCCAGAAAAGTGGAAACACCCACAAAATGAGCATATTTTAGAAAGCAGATACCCCAACGTGTTTTTAGGAGACACAGCATAAGCATATTTAGAATTACACCCCAGAACACATTCTTCTACTCACCCTGAGTATGGGGATATCACATGTGAGACTTTTTCAGCCTAGCTGCACTGAGGGGGTAGAAAATCCAAAGAGCACCTTCAGGTTGTCAAGAGGCATACGTTACCTATGACATTTTGGAGGCCCTGGAGCAGCAGGGCAGGAGAAACATCCAACATCTGTTGACACTGGGACTTGTATGGCAGTGATCAGGAATACTGTTGCTGCCTTACACTGGTCTGGTAACATTCTACTGGTATGGCAGAAATCAGGAATTCTGCTGCTGGCTGCACTGGTCTGGAGACATTGGGGCAGGAACACTGTTGCTGGCTTACATTGGTCTTTTGACACTGGGAATGGTGTAACAGTGATCAGGAACGGTTTCTAGCTTACATTGGTTTGATGACATTGGGACTGTGTGTGGTGGCAATCCTGAACACTGTTGCTGGCCTACACTGGTCTGGTGACATTGAGACTGGTGTGGTAGTGATTAATGACACTGTGGCTGGCTGCATTTGAATGAGGACACTGCCTTAGTGTGATGGTAAACAGGAACACTGCTGTTGCCTGCATTGGTTTGGTGACACTGTACTGGTGTGGCAGCAAAGAGGGTCACTGATTGACAGCAATGGTATGGTGGCACTATCCTGGGTTGGCTAGTGATCAGGGACACTGGCTGGCTGCTCTGGTGACAGTGTGTAACAAAAAAAAAAATGCTGCTAATCACTTTGGAAACTCTGTTTTATTTCATAGCAGATCGGTGTAAGAGGAAACAGAGCACTGATGTAAACAATTTACAAAAGGCAGATAGACTGTGCACTTTGCAATTGCGGTTGCTAAAGAGCTTAGCAAATGAGGGGAGGCTCTGCTAACTTCCATCATCCAATCATGTGCAAACAAAGCTTTTTTTTTTTGTATTTTTCTTGCATGTTATTGGGTATTCTTGGCAAAGTGAAGTTTCACCTTCTTTATTAAGCTCAGGAGCAACTTG